GGAATGCATGGTAAAAATTTAAGATGCCCAAGAAGGACTGCAGTTCCTTCTTGGACTCCGGTCTTGGGGCGTTTCAGATAGCCTGCACCTTACCTATTGTAGGGTGTACACCGTGTGCATCGATTAGGAACCCCAAAAATTCCACCCTGGGCACTCCCAAGTGGCACTTCGATTTCTTTACTTTTAACCCTGCCACTTGGAAACGGCCCAACACAGCCCTGACGCGTTCCGACAGTTCGTCTTCATTTTTTCCGGCGATTAACACATCGTCAAAATATGAGACTACCCCGGGCAGGTCCCTCAATAATCCCTCCATCAGGCCTTGGAAAATACCTGGGGCAACGTTTACCCCAAATTGCAACCTGTTCACTTTAAACGTACCCCTGTGCGTGTCAATTGTTTTAGCTATAGCGGCTTGGGGGTCTACAGGAAGTTGTTGGTAAGCCTGAGCCAGATCTAACTTGGCAAAGACTTTACCTTCTCCCAAGGACGCTAGCACATGGCTAATAACTGGAATGGGGTATGAGTGTTGCTGTAGTGCCTTGTTTATCATGCACTTATAATCAGCACAGATTCCCACTGACTCGTCAGGCTTAATAGGTGTCACAATAGAGGTTTCCCACTTCGCATGTGATACCGGTTCTAACACAGCTTGGGTCACAAGTTTGTCTAACTCGGCCTCAATACATGGTTTCATGGAAAGGGGCACCTTTCGATATTTAAGCCGTATAGGCGTTACAGCAGGATCCAACTCAAAGGTCACCGGCGGCCCTCTATACATCCCCAACGTACCATCAAATACATCATCAAATTCAGTATACAGTGCATTCAGTTTATTTGCGTTGACTTGGTTAATTCCACTAATAGCAATTCCGAGGGCCTCAAATTGGATTACTTTGGGTCAGTCGCACCCTATTGGTTAGATCTACCTCACAGGGTTATTGTGAGTATAAAACTGAGTAGAGGAAAACAGTGTAAGCTGCTTTGTTTCCACTTTGGAGACCATGTTATGAATTATTTTTGTTTGTCATAACTCTAATTTTGTTATAAATCTAATTTTGGCTTCAGTTTGTAAAAAGGGATGATCACTCTTGCTGCTCTTTCCTCTGGTATATCCCCCAATCATGAAAGGTATTATGAAGACCATACAAATTATATGCATTGGCTGTTCAATCATTAAAATTAAGAAAGTCCTGCACTTTTGCCTTCTGACCACAAAAATACTGCATTTTTGCTCTTGAAGTGCAGGATTATTGCACTTTAACCTCGCGGGCTACAGAAATACTGTGCTTTTACTTCTAGCCCTGCAGAGATATTTCACTGTACTTTTGCTTATTTTGGATTATTACTGCTTCAGTTTTTAAAACAATGATTTTTTAATTTGGGTTTTTATTCTGCTGATCAAATAGCTGGCTTTAATCTCTTTTTGCTGATTATCTGGTGTATTTTTTTTTAATTAAACAGTGGTTTAATCATGTTAATAAGTTATTAGTTGTTTGCTCTAGAAGCCAGTTTTCTGGTATAGGGAGAGAGTATAAATGGTTTTTAAATAACCAAATATTTTAATATCATTATAATATAATGTTTGTAATACTATATTACTATATAGTATTGTTATACTGGTAATGCTTGGGACTCAATCCAAGCTAATTCCATCATTATAGCACCTCTTCATTCAGTGGTCTCCTGGCCAACTCATTCCCTTAAATATATATATTAGTATAGTCTTGCCAAACAACAAAGTTTGCTTCCTAGCTCCAGTGTAAAGGTTTGCCTGATTCTCACTAGCAGTAAAAAGCCAGCAGACACACCAACAGCAGGAAAGCACATGACCACGTCTATCTCACAGGGTTATTGTGAGTATAAAACTGAGTAGTATTTCTACTCAGTTTTATACTCCCCACAGGCACTGGTATTTCTGGCCACTGTGGGATACAGAGTGTTGGACTGGATGGGCCTTTGGCCTGATCCAACATTGGCATCTCTTATGTTCTTATGTTCTCTTATGTTCTTATCTCTGAAGGCTTTTTCTGTGTCAGCTGCCACCCAGCACAGTTGAATGCTTATTTAAAACCCATTAAAAGCCACAAACCACATAATTCTTTTTCAAGTTCTCCCTCATTCTGGTGGAGTTCCCTGACCCAGTTGTTGCTAGCAACTTTCCATCTCTTGTAGCCTTTCCTTTTCCCAGTCAGAATGCCTAGGGCCCTGTGTGTATTCTGTGCTAGAAATAATTCTGTGCTTGTCATTCCAAATTCTGGGCCAAGAGAAGGTGGACTCCACAAAGTGTGTAAATTACACTAGTTGTTGAAATGTGCATAATTTCTCTTATTTTTATAGTTTGTATGGCTTCACTATTATGGGAGGCTGACAGATGCTGAAGCCTGTCCTACAATGGCTGGAAATCTTATTTAGCCACCCTTCTGGCATCTGAGATTTCACTAGTTGTTGCCTCACAGACTTTAAAACATACCTGCACAATGATAAAGACTAGGAACCTGCTTTTTAAAAAACTGAAATGTTGGTATGCTCACCGCCACCCATTTGGTGCTTTCTTCTGGACTCTGGAAGAATCATGGCATACACACAGGCCTGAGAATGTTCTTTCTCCCATCGGTATCTATTACCATATACCTCTAAGGAATTTTTTTTGCTTACTATTTACATTAAATATTTTATTGTCTCTATTTTTAAACCCAACAGTACGAAAACAGGAAATCATTAAGGTGACGGAGCAGCTGATTGAAGCGATAAGCAATGGGGATTTTGAGTCCTACACGTGAGTGTTGCTAGTGGGTGTCTGGCTTTGCGAGGGAGGGCAATGTCCTCAGCTGACCTGGTATGTAGGGGGTTAGGCTAGCAGCAAAAATCTCCAAAAGGCTGCACTTGTTAGAAACACTATGGTGTTACTGTCCAGGTTTGAAATGTCAGGTTACTCTGGAGGTAAGCAAATTAATGATTTTTCATTTCTGGGCTTACAGAGAACAGCTAGGGATGAACTTCAAGAACGTCTGTTTTCCTTCTTGGCTCCTCCTAAACGAATATGTCATTATCATCTCCCATCATTACTAAAATAGATGGATTTCTTTTGCAGATTGCCAAGAATAAATCACTGCTATTATTGCTGAGCAAGCATGGGTCTGAATTGCTGGCTGAGAGAACAAACAGCATGATTTTTTTTTTAATGAAGACCATAGGCTTCTGGACTTGTTTTTTGTTCTGTCCACAAGAAACACTTTTAGAACACATGCATGCACACAGAGAGACTACAATTTTAGTTTTGGAGATAGCCAGCTAGGATGGTAGAGTAATGGACTGTTGTAAATAAGAGAACACACATCCTTGTAAGTTCTGAGGATGACACTGGAATAGTTCGTTTGGTCTATTAACCTTCCATCACTTACAAAAGAGCATTCGCACTGGGCTAATTATAAGATAAAAGGCTAATTTCTACACTGTTTACAAGGGACCTCGCAAAATGAACTTTTACTGTCAGGAACCTCGATATTGATCACAGGCCTTGACGCAGAAGTGAAGCTTGTTTGTTTCCTGGTAACTGTAGTGTTCCCAGCACCAATGGTTGTTATCTAGCAGCCCACCTTGCTGGCTTCTGATCCAGGATGTTGGGAATTACTGCATTAAATTAACTAATGAGAAGAACTACATTGTACATAGTTATTTTTATTCTCATATTTGTACTCTGCCAAAGGTGGTTCCATGGCAGTATAAATAAACCATTAAAAACTGTATACAATGTAAACCAATATCTGTTTAATTGCACCTGTAAACAATAAAGCACCAGCAGCATTGGGTTAGGGTTGCCGACATCCAGATGGTAGCTGGAGATTGCCTGCAATTACAACTGATCTCCAGGCAACAGAGATCAGTTCACCAGGAGAAAATGGCCAGTTTGGTGTAGTGGTTAAGTGCGCGGACTCTAATCTGGGAGAACCGGGTTTGATTCCCCACTCCTCCACTTGCACCTGCTGATGTGACCTTGGGTCAGTCGCAAGCTCTGGCACAGCTGTCCTTGAAAAAGAGCAGTTTGTGTCAGAGTTCTCTCAGCCCCACCCACCTCACAGGGTGTCTGTTGTGGGGAGGGGAAGGGAAAGGAGTTTGTAAGCCGCTCTGAGACACCTCTGGGTAGTGAAGGGCGGGGTATAAATCCAATCTCCTCCTCTTCTTCTTCTTCTTCTTCACTCCACCACCAAAATCTTCAAAAATTCAGCAGTTTCTCTTTCCATTCCATTCCGTACAAAGTTCCTTTGTGATAAAACAGCTACCTGTTTCCTTTGTAATAAAAAAGCTACCTAAGTTTAAAAAAAATATTAGGACAAATTTGAATTATATAGATGAGTTAACTTTGAGTTTACATACAGGGATGAACATTTTTTTTCTAAAGGTAATAATTTTCATTTTGTTTAAATGTCACTCATTTCCTTTTTTATCTTTTGCAGAAAGATGTGTGATCCTGGGATGACTGCTTTTGAACCAGAGGCTCTAGGGAACCTGGTGGAAGGGCTGGAGTTCCATCGCTTTTACTTTGAGAACTGTAAGCAGCCTTTGCCTCTTGAGAGGCTTTTTTTTTTTTGGCCCCCTGAAGAGGAATTTTTTTAATTTGCATTTCTATAAAACTACAACAGAAATTGGGGAGGGAGAGTCTACAATCTATAGGAGAAAGTAAAAAGAACCTAACTAAAAACCCAAGAATGGAGGTTTTACAATGCTTAAAACATAGTTGTTACTCTTATACAGTTACTTTCAAACATGAAGAGTGCCCGCCAATCATCGCTTCTGCTGACAAAACCAGCTTATCTGACTGAACAGAGAGTAATTCCAAAGCTATAACACACATAATCACAGCCGTTAAGAAAAAATTAGCATCTCCTTTTACGCTTTACTCCCCCGCCATAGGCAAGATCTTTAAAACCAATGTTCCCTCAGTAAGAACATTTCAACACGTTTTTCTTCTTCCGTCTTCGATGTATCTTCTTTCTTCAATTATCTTTTAGTTTTTATAAGTCCGTATCTGTCCATTCATGATATAAACCAAGTTCCTTTTTTCCAGGGACATCTTTGCTTCCTTAAACGTCTTAGATCAAAAGAGTCTTTCCTTTTGTTGCATTAACAACACGCTCATTGGAGATTCCAACCTTTCTCTTAGCAAGCAGATCTTGTAAAGTTGGGGTAGCGAGCCCTTTACTCCAGAAAACCGCTTTTCGATCATCTTGCCAATCCAGCCACAAAAAGAAAAACTCTCCGCTACAGTCCATCGCCACAATTGGATCAGTCCCTCCATCCTTGCTTTCGCATTTGCTTAAAATGTCGGGAGATAGGGCGTCCCCTCCCCCCCTCCGTTTATATGCTTATAGTAGAGGGACTTCACTTCTAGGCTTTAGTGTCTCGTTTCAACGGCCACTCACTCATCAATCCTTGAATCGATTCACCAGGTCCTAAGACGGCCCCTGGGATCACGCCAGGCAGAGAAAATCGCTAAACCTCCAAATGCTTGTCCCAGTGGTCGCTTCTAATCCAGTACTGGGAATCAGGGCAGGAACTTCAGGGCAGAGAGTACCCCCCTGTACCGGCTGCCGGCCGGAGGTAGAGCTCTCCAAAGCCCTCTGGCTAGAAGCCCATTGTCTATAGGCTTCATGGGGGAGCATGCACAATCACGCTCCCTCCTAATCCCTGATTCATGGCACACGTCTCTCGGAGGAACCAAGAGACACCGCCATCGTTTAAAGCACCAAAGCCGGAAACCCGCCTCTTGAGAGGCTTTTTGACTGTTATCAGAACATAAGCATTCACAGACTCAGTCACTTAAACATGCACCATGTTGCCAGTGACAGTCTCTCGCAAAAGCCAATATGATTAGTAATAAAGTATACAAGACTCCTGAAAGCAGATAATTTACTCTATCACATATTCCTAGATTTCTCAGAAGTTGTAGGGCTCCCTGAAGAAGAGATTCCATCTTATAAACATTTTGGTTCACCCAATCTCTGTTATATTTGTCTTATTCCTTTTTGAGCTTTCTGGAAAGAGAAGGGTGACTTGGCCCTTTCTGCACCCATATTTTGCCTTGGTTTCTGAGCGCATCCTATTCTTCCATTCTGCATTCCCTCCCGCTTTTGCTTCCAGTTTGTGTCAGGGCTTTTCCTTGTTTCTGCATTAGTTTTATAGGAATCTGCATTCAGACCACTTCCAGCACACTGTTGCCCTGCAGTTACCAAAACTCCTTTTGCTGCAATTCTTTGTTCTCATCCACTTTCGAATTGCTAATCCTTTCTAAAATAGAATTGTTTCTGTGGGTATTTAAGTGCTGCCCACGGCCCTCCCCTGTTTCCACCTCTCTCTCTCTCTAGGTTGACGCTCCCTCCCCATTCTGTTTCCTTTCCCTCCTTCTACAAAGACAAAAGAGGCAAACTTTTTAAAAGCCAGAGACAGCATAAGAAGGAATCAGTAAATATAAAGGACTAGGGGATTCCCTGCTCCCAAATGTGTCAGTCTTGCATGTGTGGGCCTGGATTTCCTCCTCCCTTTCCTTTCTTTTTGCAGAATCACGGAGGGAGGGAGGGGTTGGCAGCCAGTTAGCTCAAAAAAATGTGGGTTTTGCTTGTAGATGAGGAATGCATACAGAATACACAAATAAATAAACTGGAGCGGGGGGGGGGGGGACCCGGCGCAGAGGGAAGGTGTGGGACTGT